CGAGTTTGATTTCACCGATTTTACACTTCCTTCTCAGACTCAAACACAAGCTTCTCAGGTTGACCAGGAGCAGAGTCTGGTACGCTAACGTTATTTATGTCAGGCTGGTGCATTTGAATGGCTGTTGATGCCTGGAATATGTGTTGATGAGGCATATGGGGTCGTTGGTGTATCAGGCACAGGCACTTGGACCGTTTCAATAATAAAATGATGGTTAATAAGCCTACAACTTGTCAGTACTAGACCTGGCAGTATTCATAGTTGGATTTGACCTAATAACTTGACTTCAATACCGTCCAATACACCGCTGCAACACACATTCCTATAGCGCGCACGCCATTGTGCACAAATACACTGTAGGATAGAGTGTACTCCTCCTCTATCCTCTCCTATCCTACTACCTCTACTATCACTACCTACTAGTACTATCTACTATTCTACTATCACTCTATCCTACTGTGTATTTGTGCACAATGGCGTGTGCGCTATAGGAATGTGTGTTGCAGCGGTGTATTGGACGGTATTGAAGTCAAGTTATTAGGTCAAATCCAACTATGAATACTGCCAGGTATAGTACTGACAAGTTGTAGGCTTATTAACCATCATTTTATTATTGAAACGGTCCAAGTGCCTGTGCCTGATACACCAACGACCCCATGGCATATCATGCCATATGCCTCATCAACACATATTCCAGGCATCAACAGCCATTCAAATGCACCAGCCTGACATAAATAACGTTAGCGTACCAGACTCTGCTCCTGGTCAACCTGAGAAGCTTGTGTTTGAGTCTGAGAAGGAAGTGTAAAATCGGTGAAATCAAACTCGGAACCCTGCGTGTCTGCACCCATCAACTCGACCTCTTCTGTATCCAGAAAAGTCAAAGTCTGGGAACTTGGTCCGTACGCATCTACGCTCATTGTTATCCGTTGTTGAGAAACTTGCTACGATGTTTCTGTTAAGAAACTTATAGTTGATACTGTAATTATCCCGTAAAATATTTGTCGATAAATTTCCATCCAAAATAGAACAGTTTCACTCTTTAGATTTAGAACTAAACACAAATTCTTCTTTCCCCACCACGTTGCGTACAACGTCAATGAGCCTAGCGATTACGTCACAGCAAATCGCGGTCGACGTAGGCGCCCTCTACTCGTTTCGGATCTATTTTTATGGTTGGTTGTGGTTATTTGTTGGAGTTTGTAAATGTGAAGTTTTCAACAAAATAATGTAATATAAATTTTAAGAAAGGAACAGACGCCAACTATGTGAACCGTATCTTCATATGAAACATGACAGCACAGGTAAAAAAACTAAATAAGTAGTAATATACAATGTAACACTTAGTTACATTAGGCTACTCAGTCATTACATTAGACCATTTGCCATGCAGTCAATGACAACAGTGTGGTGCAATTTTATGAATTACGAACTCGCTTACACCATATCGTTAAAAACCAATGCTTACGCATATTATTTTTATACGATGAAGGGAGCAGGACCTTGGGATGTTTTATGCAGAGCAAACTTCCTTCTGTGAGCATAATATGTCCATTATAAAACAATTTAAAACAGAATGATAGATGCAAACTGACGATTCTCGGGGTTTTAGTGTATTCTGAACATAGCGAGCTCAAAACATTTTCTTGTATGCTGTGTGTTTTGTACAATACAAATTGTGTACAAACCATTGTGACATGTACCAGTACGGCCCAATCCCAAGCTAGTTTAGCACCCCGGATTAGTTTATGCGAACTTACGCCGAACTATAATACAGGGGTACCAAACTAGGATTGAGCACAAGTAGCTGTGCTGTACAAGACACTGATTATAATGAGAATCCTAAACTAGCAATACCATCTTAATAATTGATTATGGGAACAATAATAACGCTATTAATGGGAGAACCAATAATTAGTAAAAAGTAAAATTAAAACTATTGCTTATTCACAAGTTAATGAATTGGTGCAGTTCATGCAGCACAGTTTATGCAATTTGACATGTTTTTTTCAAGTATAGATCCATTGATGCAAATCTTTCATGCACTGGACTGCTACTGCACACTTCATAATAAACAGGCTATAGTTTTAGACATTACCTACAAACCAGTGTAATATAATCAGGGTCCAGGGCTGTAGCTAGCAGGGGGGCAGGGGAGCAGCTATCGCTCTTAGGGTCTAAGACCCTCTCAGCGCAGCTGCCCCCGCCAAAAAAAAAGAACCCAGTGAAGAATAATGGGAAAATACTCGCTTAACCGTTTCGGGAGTTTTAAGTATGTAACCTACCTGAAATGGCTGGAAATGGCATTTCAGAGCTTCTATATATATTTCAAAATTTTTTTGGGGGCATGCCCCCAGACGCCCCTAGAAGCGAGCGCATTAGGCGCTCGTTCATCTTGCCCCCCCCCCCCCCCCATACATTAATTCTTAGCTACGACCCTGGTCTGCTGTCATCGCTAACTACCAGACTACCACACAAATTAAGGATTGGCTCTATACACATAGTGTCATGTTGACTACTTAATATTAGCTGCAGTTCACTTGTCACAGGCTTATGACTATGTGTATTTTTGCAGAGGCCCAGTGATATAAAATGCACACAGTTAACTTTCATGTATCTAAAATTTGCATCCGAGGCATCTGCCTTTAAGTTTCAAAATTGCTTTACAAGTCACATATCCCAAAAGTCTGTTAAAAATACGCAGATGTGAAAATTTTGCGATCTTGACCTTTGTGACATTTAATTTTCAGAGTGTGCAGGTGAAACTAGAGTTGGGTCATCGGACAGAGCTGCGAACAAGGCCCACGAAGGAGGGCTTCACACACGACTGGACAGTGTACGTGCGTGGACCTGAGGGCAGTGACATCAGACACTTTGTAGAGAAAGTTGTCTTCTACTTACACGAGAGCTTTAAGAAACCGAAGCGAGGTACATGGAAGATATTGAATTAGAGCAAACGAATGAATATGGATTCTATCCATGAGTGAGTCGTCTTACCACCACGATTAGGCCTACAGTCATGATATAACCATATTTCTTACGTGGTTTGAAACTAATACTTAGTAGCTGGGTGTTGTAGTTGCATTAGATTACAATTAACCTACCGCTCATGCCAATTTAATCCAAAAGTGTACAATTTTAGTGTGCAGTTCTTTATTAGCTGAAAAATGGCCATAATGCATTATATCAAATTAGTAGTGCTGCTGGTTTTGATGTTATGTGCAAGGGGTCTGGGGAAAATACATTGCAGAAACTTCATAACATTTTTCAAAAGGATGTTGGTACTATCACTGGTAGTTAATTCATTAATAAAAATCTCTGGAACAGGTAACAAATGAAAGGGGCGAGTCACTGTAGGTTCTCAGTGTAACTTGGGTAGTGTGTGTTGATATGTGGAGTGAATTAGCTGGGTACTGTCATGTTAGTAGTAGTCTATTAATGTTGCTGTGCTGTGACACTTATAAAAGTGGCTGTTGTCATGTTGTAGGATCGTGACTAGCAGAGAACTCTCTCTCTGCACCACACTGTACTAGGGTGTTTGCAGTTGTGGTACATCAGGGGTAGAAATTAACTTTTGAACACGGGAGTCTAAAAAGAGGGAGTCCGCAGCAAAATGAGGGAGTCCGCAGTCTGATGTTCAAAATTAAAGATATTAACAATAACGCATAACTGCGCTTATTTTTAAGATTCATGCGGTTGCACGTTTGTCAAATTTTCTTTGGATTTTAGCTGGAAAAATACGGTATTTCCACGAGGCCGTGCTTGGAACGAACTAGGTAGCATGGCAGAATTTTCAGGGAGTCACACGGACTCCTGCATATGTCAAATCAGGGAGTCCGACAGTAAATCTGGGAGTATTTGACTCCGGACTACCGTTCATTTCGCACCCTGTACATGCAATCTGGGAATTGTGATAATCGTGGATCCTCTTAGAGTGAAATTTCACACCACTTTTCAGTCAAATGCTGCTTGCTATACTGTCAGGGCCCTTCAATGACATTAGCAGGAGTATGCATGACTCCTTGATAATTCTGCAACACCTAACGAAACATCCAAAAAACATTATATTATAGCAATAGCTATAACATATGTAGCAACTATGATTATATTGCTTTTAATGTTTTAAATTCACATTCTATGGCAGGGGTAGAAATTAACTTTTGAACAAGGGAGTCCAACGACTCCCTACCCTCAAAAAGAGTGAGTCCGCAGTCTGAGGTTCAAAATTAAAGATATTAACAATAACGCATGCACTTATTTTTAAGATTCATGCAGTTGCACGTCTGCCAAATTTTCTTTGCACATAGCTGAAAAAATACAGTAATTCCGCGAGGCCGTGCTCCGGAACGAACTAGTTAGTATGGCAGAATTTTTAGGTAGTCACACGGACTCCTGCATATGTCAAATCAGGGAGTCCGACAGTAAATCAGGAAGTATTTGACTCCGGACTCCTGTTCATTTTGCACCCTGCTATGGTAATATATGATAGATAGCACAATAAATATATGTCATTCCATGGCACTTACTTCGACTTGTGCTGTATGTTTTTGTCAATTTTAGTTATTGAGTGTGTCCCGTGAGTCCCTGTGAGTCCAATATTTCTCTGCAGATTCCCTATCCAGAAATGGATTTCGGGTCGTGGCTTTTACTCAGAAAAAAAGCCACGACATCTACGACTGACCGCGAAACGATAGTTCATGTTGAATCCTTACGGCACTGTGAGAGGTTTTCTGCTAGCGTAGACTATAACGGCGGCTATTCTGTTGACATTTGCGACGCGGCGTAGTTGTCAAGGAGCCACCGTACGAGGTGAAGGAGTCCGGCTACGCGGGATTCAACCTCCCCATCGACGTCTACTTCCGCAACAAGGAGGAGCCGAAGAAGATCCGCTTCGACTACAACCTGTTTCTGCAGCTGGAGGGCCAGCCGCCGGTGAACCATCTACGATGTGAGAAGCTCACCTTCCAGAACCCCACCGACGACTTCAGACGCAAGCTGATCCGGGCCAGTGGGGTAAGCAGCAGGGTCTCTTGCTGTCTTGTCCTTCTATTGCTTCTTCCATAGTGTGCAGTGTATCATATATGCCGTATCAATGTACTGGCGTTGCCCTATGTGGTTGAGTGAACCATCTGTCAAGCCGTGCCAATAAGCTCATTTCGTATTTCGAGGATTTAGGTGAAATTAGCCAGGTTGCTGATTTCGGGGAAGATTTTAGCAAACTGATCCGTGCTAGTGTGGTGAACCAATTGCGTAATGATATAGTTCGATGGGTCTTTCATTGCTCCAAGCCAATAAGCAATTTTAAATTTTGGTTGTACATTCTCGGGAACCCCCATTTCCTAACCATGTCATAGATTTTCGTTACTAAACCATGGTTCGCACAGTCCTTGAAAAGTCCTTGAATTTGAGGGGAGTCTTTGAAAAGTACTTGAATTTAGTAAATGTTGATTTTGTGCTTGAAAAGTGCTTGAATTTCATGAAAATGTCCTTGAATTTTTAGAAAGAATCCTTTCCTGTAATAAAAAGAAACGTTGTACCATCAATAATGTGCAAACCTCAATAAAAATTGCATTAAATGACCTTAAAAAGCTTTAGACACGATAGACAGTTAAATGATGATCATAAATTACAGTAAGTCAGTAAAATCAGTCAGTAAATCAAGGTATGTTGTAGAAGTGACAGTGTTTAGAAGGGTTTATTAATGTGATCCAGGTAAGTTTTAGAGGTGACATGCAGTGATTAAGAATGGGGTTATTAAATTAATCCAGGTATGTTTTGTTCTGTGTATGAATTCCGATAAAATGTCTGATAAAATGTCCTTGAATTTCCGATAAAATGTCTTTGAAAAGTCCTTGAAAAGTCCTTGGAAAAAATTTCAGTCCTCCTGTACGAACCATGTAAACAGACGCCTGACATGCTGTAATAACGTAGCAAGCCGGCTGTTTCCTTAGCCTTAGGAAAAGAGTGTGTTTTTGAGCTCCCTTTGAAATGTAAACATTCTAGGTTGACACTGTGTTATTGTCGAATGTGCAAAATGTTTTTACAAACTTGAAATGTGGTGAAGCAAGCACTATAAATTCCATATTTCAGCAGAGTGTTTGGTAGGCACAAACTTGCGCAGTGCATCACGTATTTCACCAAAGTGAAATTGGCTTATTACGTGATACAGCTGGATGACTCATCTCCCAAGCTACGCAAATCACCCATTCACCCATACCCCCTGTGCCTATTACAGTGTTTGTTATCCCGTCATCTGACTAGACACCCCTGTGTAATAATTATATGCTTGCACTGCGCAAATATTGAACTGATGAGGAAATGTGTTAGTAGCTATAATAGTATAGCGGCTGGATCTTGGTGCAGTACGCATTTCTGCGATGTAGGCAGTTTGGAGTGATGTCACCTTTACCGAGCTATTGCTTTTGTAGGTGGAAATGACTCAGGGAGAGACCGGGGAACCACAACCTATCTCTAGCCCGCCGGACGACGCCAGGAAAGTGAGGCCTTCAGAAAGGGTAAGTGAGAAGCTTTCACGCGGTGCAGAATAACAACAAATCACATACATCATCAATTCCTCATCTCTCTCTCTCTCTCTCTCTCTCTCTCTCTCTGTTCCTCTCCTCCCCCTTCTTTTCTCCTATTTCTATCTTGCTCTGTTTCTATATCTGTCTCCTATCTTTTACTTGCTTGCTGTTCTATATCCTCCTTCCATTTTCTCTGTTTCCTTACCATCCACTCTCTTCCTCACCTCACCCATTTCTCTATCTTTCTGGCGTTTTCTTTTTTTTCCCATCTATCTCACACACACTTTCCCCCTTCCTTTCTATTTCCTACTTACACTGATATGCATGATTTTCGAACAGCCAGATGATATTCTGACAGCACTGTGTCACTATGTTTCCTTAGTTATCCTGCATGTGATGTTGAAGAGAACGCGTCATATCCCTATCGCACGTGCGTACCAAACGTTATCAACATCCGAGGCACTTCCTGGCTATCATGAGTGCAGCATAGGTCACAGTCATGAGCTTATATTATAGACAGTTCCTGAAAGTGTTGTCCCGTTGTTGTTCGAAATTGTTGTCTTGGCCACCTTGAAACGTTGTGACTGTTCACACTCCAGTCAGCTACTAGGTAAGTGTGTGTGCATGGGTGTGCATGTGTAGATCCGTGTGTTTGTATGAGTGTGCGTCCATGTGCATGTGCATGTGCTTGCAGCATGCTCGCGTGTGCATGCGTGTGTGTGTATGTGTGCGTGTGTCCATGAGTGCGTGTGTATGCACGCGTGCGCATATGTGTTCAAGCATTGGTGTCTGCATGTATGTATTTGTGTGTCTGGATGCATGAATTTGTGTGGGTGGATGCATGTGTATGTAATGGGAGTACGTGCATGCGTAGATACATGTATGTTGTGTAGTGTGGGTGTGTTTACCTGTGTAAATGCGCAGCCGTATGTGCGTGTGTTTGGAAAGTGGGGGAGGTGTGTGCACAAGCATGGATGTGTGAGTACATGTGCATGTGTGTCTGTTGGGTGTGTTGTGTGTGCGTGGATTTTCCAATAGTCCTGAGTATCCAGTTTTGTTAAGGCAACATTAATCAATAGGTAGGGACAGAGTGATATGTATGCGTGTATGTACATACGTGTGTACACGCTCCAGCATGTGTGCCTGTAGGTGATGGCGTTTGTGCATCTGTTACTTATACTGGATATGATGGTGAAGGCAAGCATTGCTACAGACACACTCATATGCTGAGACAGCAATCCCTATAAGAGGTTAATTCCTTGGTCTGCGATGACGTAATGGCGGTCGTAGTTGTGTGTTGTGCAGGAGCAGCCACCGGGTAAGGGCATACCTTCAAAAGACATCCGGGAGGAGGCAGAAGGAGAAGCAACCCTCCCTACAACCGTCACAAAGCGCTCCTCTTCCCCCTTTACCAGCACGATGATTGATGCGTCCGCCATGGCCGCCAAGAAGTCACGCCCAGGAGAGGTGGCCGTGAAAAAGGAGAGAAGTAGTAAGCATGGTTGAATTTGTTCATTTAGATGTGTAAAATAGACAGATCCAGATGAGACGGGATACTAGAGAAGCGTTGCCGAAAGGAGATGTTGATCCCAATTGCGCTGAAGCGCAGATCTTTCGCGCAGTTCCGCGGCAAGGGCGGCACGGCGACCGGCGGGAACGTCCTACGACAGTATGCAGCGCTGGCAGCTATGGATCCGTGCGCGCGAATGAATTGGCGCGGCGCAGCGGATCCATAGCTGCCAGCGAACAGTCCGCAATTTTAGTGGGGACACAGAGGGTAGACATTTGGGACGTCAACAGTGTTGACTTGCTATAAAAACTGTAACCCGAGTAATCTGTTCGTAACCGAGCTGTGTGACGGAAATCAGAGAAACACTGTCGAAATTCTGACAATTCGCGAACCTTGCCCAGTAAGCAAACGGCTGTCAGAATAACGAAACACTACCGGCGCTCTTCGCGCCCCAACGCTGCAACGTTTTTGCAACGTTCCAATGGCGAGGCTCGTACGGGAGTTGGAAAGCAGTGCGCCGCCTGCCCGCCGCCTATAGCCCATAGACTGGCACTCCTCTGGCATCGCCTCTCGCTTAGCTTAGTCACTCAATGGCTAATCGAGGTGGGAGCGAGTCCTAGTCTATATATAGCCTTTGCACCGCTGCAACCTTCTTGAAAGAGAGTAGGCCTATACTAGAAACATGAACAATTTCGTAGTAAATAGATTTCGTATTTAGTTAGCATTATATTTTATTGAAACGCTTCAAGTGCCTGTGTCTAGTATAGCCTAGGGGTATTCTAACCCTAGCAAAGAGCGTTTCTTGCTAGTCGTATAGTAGTCTAGTAGTACTAGTGGTTCAAGGATAGAGAACATGGCTCCCAATATTATATGGGCCCCAATGTATGGCATGGCCAATAAAACCAATGTCATTTACATCAATCTAAATATAATATTATATCAATATAATAGGTTAGGGTTATGGTTAGGGTTCGTCATAGCTCTAGTACTATAGCCGCTTACATTAACTGCCGTGCTGCAGACGACCCCTTCGACCGCCAGATAACCGCCAGCGGCAGTTAATGTAAGCGGCTATAGTACTATAGAGCTAGGTTCGTCATTATTAGTAAGTTAGTTAATACTAGTAACAGAGTTAGTCATTATTACTATTACTATTAGCTCTGCGGTCCTGGTAGTTACTAGTACTAGTACTAGTAGTGCTGGTAACTTAGTAGTACTACTACTACTAGTACTAGTAGTAGTAGTAGTAGTGCGGTCGGGTAACAACGCATCTTTTGCGCAACGCCATCTTGTACACGGTCTCTAGTGCCGCTAGTGGCTCAGTCTAAACGAACTGATGATCAGTGTGTGCGTACGTGCGGGCTTGATCTTCTGCCAGTGCTGGTAATATGCAAAAACGGCAAAACGGGCTAGAGTCTGAGAGGAGATGCGAGCGCGGGGTCAACAGTTCATAAAGGAAGGAAGATGGCTACGATAATAAAAAGCGCGACGTCAGCGATTCAGCCTGCCGTGTCCAATTGACTGTACGCACGTTCATTACGCCAAGTATCTCTCGCTACACCTAAAGTTATAGTAACTCGAGCGTTACAAACTCTCCACGGCGGCAGTCTAAGCCTAATTGCCGTTCTTTCTGTGGGAAATTCTCTCCAACATCCTCGAAGAGAGACTCGTCGTGCCATCTACGGGTAGCGATAGTACCAGAATAAATTCACGGGCGTGTAATTAAAGACATTCGAAATCCCTTTTATCCCAAAAAACGAACGCGCCAACCAAAAAAGTTCCAATTAGCGACATTGAGT